TGGGATAATTGGGATGGGAGGGTCAGAGACAGTGCGATTGGCACAGGACAGAGTGGAGTTTAGGGCTGTTGTACATAGGGTCACTATGAGTTGCAGGCGACTCGACGGCACATAACAACAACAACAACAACATGGTTTCTCTTTTGGGTAAATTATTCCTAAAGATTCTCAACCAGTTACTCAAAACCAAACAACATTCAAACTCATTGCCATTGGCTCAGCATAGACGCCTAGCTGACCCTCCAGTGGATTTTCAGAGGCTGTATACCGCACAGGAGGAGACTGCCCCTCACTCTCCTGTCGAGTAGCTAAGGGATCCGAACCACCAGACAGGCACCATCTTTGGGTCAACAGTAAATCCCTATGGACGTCACCACCACAGGCGTGCTTAATGGACCTTTATAGGGTAGACCTTCACTTTATAGTCAATAGTGTAATTATTGCTCTGTCCTTGAAACTTCATCCTTAAATTTACTCAGTCACTTCCTACTGAAAAGAAAATAGCTAGTATAGTGTTTTTTACTGCCTTACACAAATGAGCACAAAGAGCAAAACCAAACAAACTATTGCTGGTAGTTGGTTCTAACACAGAGAGACCCTCCATGTGGTGCATAAAGGCTGTACATCTTACATGGAAGAGACATCCACATGTTGTACATCTACATGGAAAAGACCTCACATCGTTGTTCCAGGGAGGGCTGACAGATTCGAGTCGCTGACCTTTCAGTCAGCAGTCCAACATGCCAAACGCTCATTCCAAATGTTCAGCCTAAGCACAGGCAGAAGGGGAAAGCAGGATGCATCCAAGACTGCACATCTGCCAGCCAGTGACTAAAGGTTAAAAGTCAGCATGAAAATCTATATCTGAGAATAAAGGTTACTACCTCACAAAAATAGCCTTCCACAAAAAGAATTCCGGCAACTGAATCCAGATATTCAACTAATATCTGCCACAAGTTTTGACTCTATCACATACTCTTTTTCAAATATGTAGCTCTCTCTTCCTTGTAAACTAAATGGTCATTTTTGTCATGGACACTTAAAAATGAGTTTTAAGATATTATTCAGTACCTGGCAAAAGTGTCTTATACTGTGTAAACCTACCGTCAAATATGCTGATGGGTTATGAAAGGAAAAAAACAAAACAGAACAATAAAAACCATATCTGGTATATTTCCAGCTATCTATATGCATCCGGATGAGGCTTTCAACCTCCTACCCTTACCTATCAATCGCCACAGCCCGTTCTCAACAGTCTATATAATTAATAATCACATTGATATTTATAATGTCTTAGATTTTTTTTCCTTCTTCTCCAAGCTATATATTCTAGTGAAATTATGTGGCTTTATAAACCCTTTAGTTCTATT